GGCCGCGCCGCCGCTCTCCGCTCTTTGTGCAGGCCTCGCTCCTTCCTCTTTTTTCTCTTCGGCGATTTCACTTGATGACGGTTTGGGTGGTTGTTCTTTTAGGGGGAGATTTCTATCTATTGTTTTATCTATACGTCTGCACGCGTGCACACGCGTGTGCAGGTATGCGCTGCGTGTCACTTTTCAATCGCTAAAGGCATTTGGTGCTAACTTGAGACATCACTCAAGCCTCATGGGGCAACAGTGAATGAAACAGGAATATCTGCCACTAGGATTATCTCCCCAGAGAAGGTCTGGGGAGTGAGAGGGAGTACCTTGGAATAGACTGAGAGGAAAATATAGGCCTTTTTTTAAAAACATCAACCTAAGCATTCTGGTAAGAGTCATTTGGGAAGGTTTCTTGTGCCAAGACGTACTGTGCTTTTTGGTAACACTCAGACTGAGATTTGTTTTTTCTTTTCTTATGAAAGGGGTTTTCTTACAGCATTGGTAACTCAAGTGTTGCAGCATGGAGCTTCTCTAGGACAGACGCAAGGTGAAAGCCACTATAGCTGCCCGGATGAGATGAATGGTTGTGTCTGCTTTGCCTTAGCTGAGCAAACGTACAATGGGGAGAACAGCCCATTTTGGGCACAGGAAGGATTGAATAATGACCCAGCAACAGAAAGATATGCAGAGCTGTTGGATCTTTACAGACTTTTTTCCTCCCCTTCTTTTTCTTTGTCTCCTGAAATTCCCCCTTCGGCTGAGGGGAAGCAGGGGCTGATTCTGATGTTCTTGCTGTTGCATCCTCCTCCAGTCTCTCTTCCAGCGATGCTGAGTAGGAGGTAAATCACAGCTGTGCTCCCTTGCCTGTCCCCAACACACAGGATCCCTCCTTGTGCTTTGGTGCAGGTGCTGTGACCTTCCAAAGACGCTACAGTGTGAAGAATTTACTCCCTATTCTTCTCTGAAATGGGTGCCAAGAACAGTGCACTCAGGCTATGTTTCTTGGTCTAGGCTTGTATATTCTCAAGGCTGAAAGGAATCCTATCCATGGGCACATTGGACTGGAGATTCAGTGCCCTGGGGCCCCAGGCTGAGCCAGGGCTGGAGCCTCTGAGCTCCAGTTGATTGTATACCCTGGCTGCTTGCCAGGATAACCTATAGCGTGTTTAACGCTGGTAGGGTATGTGTGGGGGCGGAGGTGGGGGAACACATCTGTTCTGCAGATGAGAGCTGCCAAGTCATTCCGAAATGAGCGAAAACTCATGAAAATGATTTGGCTGACCCCCTCCCAGCTCCAGCCCCCAAATCAATTCCCGTCCCACAGTTCTTGGGAGAAGCAGTAGGAGCCACTAGTGCCATGAAGGGATAAAAATCCTCTTTCTTTCCTGCTCATTTCCCTGATTTCCAGCTAAATAGCTGCCCGCTCTCTCCCTCCTCCTTCCCCCATCCTCTCCCCACCATGTCTGTAATGGTGGAGCTGAGGTTTACAGCCATTTTACAGCCCTTTTGATTTAAGGTTAGTCTACATGTAAGAAACGACCAGTTTATATCAGTGTAATTCTAGCAGCATAGTTATGGTAGCATTCCCTATGCAACTATTCCGACTGTCCAAGAAGAAGCCTTTTTTCTCTCTGCTGGTTTCTTTGCACTGTCCCTCCTCCTTTATTGCCATGTAACTTTGACAGTGACATAAGCTACCACAGAAGAGAAAAATGCAACTCCAACCCCGCACTCTTGCTCTGGAATCAGCATGTCCATATGGGGAGTGTTACCCTTCTAATTATATCACCAGATCTCTGCTGAGAATTTTTCCTGCATAGACAAGTCTTAGGTCTTCTTGGTAGATTGTCTTCCAGCCAAGGAAGAAAACTCTGCCTTTCTGCCAAAATGTCAGATGAGAATATCTGACACTTTGGAATAAGCAGGAATTTTATTGGCCTAATCTCTGGATTAGAAGCCATTTCTCATGCTTCTTTTTTCAGAATGGCTAATAAAATCTCCAGCAGCTCAGACTATCACACCCACAAAACTGACATTAATTAGAAAAGCAGGGAGAGGCAGACATAGCCAGCATGCAGAGAAGGCTGGTTCCAAGCTCACCAGTTGCCTGCATTCGCTGAGAGCATCAGGACACTGAACATCCTTTTTACCTTTCTTTTTTTCTTTCTTTTTTTTTTCCTTTCAAATCAGAGAATGTTTGATTCTAGAAGAAAAAGCTTATAAGGTTTCCTATAAAGAGAGCATTTGACTTACCACGTGTGGGGAATCTTTCGGCTTTCCCAACTCCTCCCTGTAGGAAGGTATCTACAAGCCTCTAGTTTCTACCCTTGGGAAAGGGAGGAGTTGGGGTGGCCACGTAAGCTGCCTGGCCTGATTTTAATGCCTGCCTCAGGAAACTAGGCCAGGGCAGAGCAGTGGTCTTTTAGGAATTCCAGATGCCTGGAGGTAAATCAGCTTTTAATTCAGGGAGGATTTCCATTTGGAAGTGAACTTTCCCAGCTGCAGACTCCAGGGTTTGCCAAGGTCACTCTCCCGTTCCTGCTAGGCACAACCTCTGTTGCCTTTCAGCGTGCGGAGGCAGTGGCTGCAGCGGCCAGCACAGCGCTAGAACCGTCCAGGCCAGTTCCCAAGAGGGCAGGTGAGGGATGGGGGTAGCCTACCCTTTCACCACTCACATCCCATGTGCTCCGCACTGCTGAGATCGAGCCCCATCAGGTGCTTGGGTTTGGACCCGACAAATGCATACAAGCATCAGCAAATTTGCGACTGTCTTTGCAGAAATGGAAATTGGTGATTCAGGGTTCAATGACCTGTCTCATTAGGGTCACTCCTGCCAACTCCTTTCGTCATGCATGCCTGATCAGGCAGCCTGTCACTCAGCCAGGGCAAACAAGCATGTGGAGAGGGAATGATGTATCCTGGTTACAGGAGGGGAGCCGCGAGCCAGAGCAACTGAACTTGACTCTTAAGTCTTCCTGTTCGTGTGCTGCCAGAAGGATTCTCTTCCTTGTGCCTCAGCTTGCTTCTGGGTGAAAAGTGGGAGAGGGAGAAAAGAGGGAAAACACCAGCCATGAACTAGGAACTGCAAGTCTGACTGGAAACATAAGCACTCAGCAGCTTCCCCCTGCTGATCCCAAAGCACGTTGGTCTGACCATGGTGGTGAGGCACAGGGAGATAAAAGAGGCACCACAAAGAGATGTCCTCTCTTCACCTAGTGATTCCAAGTGGGGTGACACGAGGGTGTCGAATCAGAAACAGCCCAGTGATTTAAAATAAAATCTTATTTTAGATCATAGTTCTCTCCCACTTATTTCTTCATTCAAAAGATTTCCTTTATTGTTGTCTGCTTATACACAGGCCAGTACTGCAAACCCACCTAAAACTGCCCACAAATAAAACTGAAGGAAAATTAAAATCTTTGCATCCTGCAAATGAACTCGTCAAAGTCAGTGGTGGAAAAAAAATGGCTTTCAGGACTTTTGCTTTACTTTCTGCACCCTGCGCACTATTCAACTCCTCTCAGCAAAGGAGCAGACCTACTCCCTTTCACAGGCATTGCTCCATGGAGCTAGAGCAGGCTGGTCTTGATGTCAACAGCTAAGCTGCAAGAAAGGAGTCTGCCGGAGAGCCACAGTCTCCAAGGCTTGGTACTGCCAGAGCAGCTGTTGTATTTTTCAGTTCCCTGCATTTGTTACCACTAACTTCTTGTTTTGCTTTGTTTTCCCTTTTCTTTTCATGAAAATTGCCGCCTCTCCAAGGATTTCTCCTCCCCTCACACCACTACTATTGCTGGCACCCTCACCTCTCAGGTGAGCAGGA